TGAGCCACAACACCAGCCCCTACTGATAGTCTTCTATTGCCAAACCTCACTTCTTTCTCCCTCTGTAGCCTTTCTATGATGCCACAAAGACTTGTTCAGTTTACTGTAGAGAATTTCTAAAGTTTCACAGGTTAAATGCCGTTTGGGAAAATTCCCAACTGATCAGCCATTGGGCAATTTTACACTCAGTAGTCATTCAACCACCAAAGAGTGAAGTCAGATTGCTTTTATTTTGGTGAGGCCTCTATGATATTTCCATAGTCCCTGTCAAAAAATCACTTGCTAAGCAATGTATAAAGATTTTAGTCAATGTCTTCCCAGAATTAATTATTTTATTCAAGATAAGCAACTATAGCAACTCTATTTGAAACAAAAATTAACTCGTTATTCCCATATTACATTATTCAGTGTATTACCAAGGAGCACATATTATTATATTATTATCATCATCATATTATTTTGTTCTGAAATGTTTTGACAACTATATTTTGAAGTAATTTATTTTGTAATCATATACATTTTATGATATTTACTTTAAAACATTCTATAAAGGGATCCATAGGCTGCCAAAAAAAGTCTTAACTCTTAAGAGTTTTATATCTAAATACTAGTTATCATCCCAAATGACATCTTGAAGGAAAATTAAGACATCTTTCTTTTCCGGGTAATTGTACTGCTTAAATATATAATAACAGGTGGGCTAGACCTATATACCTTCAGCCCTATTTAAATATTTGGACCCAAAATGTAAAAGAATACAGTCAGCACACAATTTTCATCTATCTTCCACCTATGCAAAACTTTGGTTTTCTTCACTCATAAAATCATGTGGAAAAATAGCAAAAAATATTGTAGTTAATATATATTGTTATTCTTAGGGCTGGGGTTGTGGCTCAGTGGTGGAACACTGGGTTTGCACATGCCAGTTGCTTGGTTCGATCATCAGCATCACATAAAAATAAATAAATTAAGGTATTGTGTCCAACTACAACTAAGAAAAAATTAAAAAAATATATTGTTATTCTTAAAACATGTTTTGATGTTTAAAAATACAATAATAGGAACTTAGTTTACCACAGTACATCATGGTGTGTTAAAATTAATAAGAAAATATTTAGATGATAGAAAAACAGAGTCAAAAATATAAAGACAATTTTAAGGATCCACACAGAAAAAACAACTTCTAAGTTTAGAGGAAAATTGGGTTAATTTAAAGGTGTGTCTTAATACATGCGTTTATTCACTCTTTTGGGGCTATAAACTTGAATTCAACTAGTATTTATGGTGAAAGATTAATACAAACACACAATGAAAACATTCTAATAATATTAATAGATTATCCATTTTGTTTTGGTACTGGGTATTGAACCCAAGGGCACTTCACTGAGACACATCCTCAGCCCTTTTTAATATTTTATTTAGAGACAGGATTTTCCAAGTAGCTGAGGGTCTTGTTAAACTGCTGGGGGGCTCGCTTTGAACTTGCAATCCTCCTTCCTCAGTCTCCCAAGCCACTGAGATTACAGGCATGTACCACCATGCCTGACTAGATTATCCATTCTTATATGCTGTAAGATAATGAAAGGATTTGCCTAGCAATAACTAATGTACTAAGTTCTTATGAGTGGGACTGGTTATGGATTAATGAAATCCTTAAACATGACTTTAGACAACAAATTACTTATGTTTTCCACTTATAATATGGTCTGGTACAGCTAACTTCTTTTATCCTCCATTACCTAAACACTGATAATAGCTAATAGCAGATATATGTTACATAAATATGAATAGTGAACTAAAATTCTAAGAACTTCAAAATAAAGTTAAATTTAAGATTGCACTAAAGTATACATAAAGACAAATTTTAAATTATTTTTCAAAAATTAAAAAATATTTTTGGGGTACTGGGTATTATAATGTATATACTTATACATTATAAGTATATACATTATAATATATAATTATAATGAGCCACATCTCCAGCCTTATTTTGTAGTTTATTTAGAGACAGGGTCTCACTGAATTGCTTAGCTCCTCTCACTGTTGCTGAGGCTGGCTTTGAACTCTAGATCCTCCTGCCTCAGCCTCCTGGGCCACAGGGATTACAGGCATGTGCCAATGCACCTGGCTAAAATTTTAATTTTTATATAATCAACAATATCCTCTATGTCTCCTTGTCGACTTTTTATCATTTGCAAGGTATATTCCAAAGATATCACAAAAATGAATGATAATTTTAAATATTTGCTGCTCCATCAGGAATGTATAGTTATGCTAAGCAGTTTTTTCATGGGTTTAATTTTAATATATTTTTTAACCACTAGTTGAATAATTAAGTTAGTTTTCATTAACATTTTCAATGAAAAATGTTAATTAAATTTTAATTTGAAAGAGGTATTTCTTTATTAAGTATATACATTATAATATATCAGAATATGGTGAAAGATTAATACAAACACACAACTTTAAAATATATATTGACTACATTTGTTTAACAAATTTCTTTAGAACTTATCTAAAAAATCATAAAACTAGTCTGATGTACAGCATCTGGTACCAGGATTTTGTTCTCTAACATTTATTTAGTTAATGAAAAGAAACCAGGGAACTATGTAAGGATAGTCCAATGAATAACTGGATCAGCAAAAATAAATATAGTACTTTTGTGATCTCTTATTTTTGCAAGAAACCAAGAATGCTTTCAAAATTATGGGTTGGATCAAAAAACCACAGGCACCAGTTTAAAGGATTTTCTGGTAGCCACATTATAAGAATTTTATCAGCAAAAATGTACCAAATGTATGATTAAAGCCAGTCCATAAATGCCATGAGTAAGGCTGAGGTTGTGGCTCAGTGGTACAGCACTTGCCTAGCATGTGTGAGGCACTAGGTTCAATCCCCCACACCACATAAAAATGAATAAATAAAATAAAGATATAAAAAATGCTGTATCTGTTTAAAAAATGCCATGGGCATATAATACAAGAGTTATTATTTCCTCTTTGTCTTATAGTATAATACTCAGGTTTGATTTTCAATTTGCTTATTGATAGTTGTGTAGAGACTTCATTGTCTTAACTCTTGCAACTATTCAGTATGTCTTGCAGATATATTTCTTCTTCATTTCTGCATTCCAAATCTGAGGTTCCTTTTTGGTCCAGCTGTAACCTGGACCAAACAAAGAGGATTCTGGAAAATATAGTTCTAAACTTCATATAACACAAGTCAGAGGTACCATTATTCATTCTCATGATTACAAGTTCTCTCTTTTAAGTGTGAAATGTTGTGTCCAACTTGTAGCAGAATACAAAAGGATACTTGACTGTCAGATTGAAACTGCCCTTTTTGATAACTAAACATTTTAAAATTTCTATCAACACCAATTGACCAACACAGTAACTTGTATACTACACTGGCTATGATAATGCTAAAGATACATCTCTCCTTAGTAAATTCCAAAAACCTGAAAAATTCCAAGTTACTTAGCTCCTCTCACTTCTTCTTATCAAGGAAGAAGGGAAGTAGGGAAACACAAATTCTGCCATAGTAGGCCAGGAAAAACTTCAATAAGTATCATAGTCAATTATAATATGATCACATGAATTGAGCATAATGGAAATTAATTAAAAACAATAATAAAAGTAATTTCAAAAACTTTTATTTGCAAATTAAAATAAGTTTTAATTTAGCCATACATCCAATTGAACTTCATAATTGAAATTAATCATTTATATTAGTGAACCATAATGTATGTCAAATGTTGTGTGATATAGCTGAAAGGGTACTGGGAGCAATGGTCATTACTGTAGAGCTTTTTATTAGCAAATAAAAATGATAAACTATGAGCTAGGGGTCCACTTGAAGAATGGCAAACAATTCTATACTTTCATTTTAAATATTTCTCTTCCAGAGTAAATTTCCTCATGCATAAATATGAAAGCCATTTGAAGGCTTTCCCACATTGATTATATTTATTGGGGCTCATTCCATTGTGTGTTTTCACATGCCTATGAAAATACGAGTGAAAACTAAAGGATTTTCCATGCTCTTTAGTCTATCTACCAGTATGAGTTCTCACTTGCTGACTAAGCAATGAGAAAGACTTGAAGTCTTACCTACAATTTTATATCTGTATAATTTCTCTTCAGTATGTGTTCTCACATGCACACTGAAGTGTTAGTAATTATACTGTATGACATTTCTTACATTTCTATGGCTTCTCTCTAATGTGAATTTTCAAATGCCTTTGAAAGAACAAGATACAAGTTGGTATTTTCCTATACTCCTTATATTAATAGAATTTTCTCTAATGATAATTATCATGCATTATAAGAGGAATGAGGAGCAACTGAAGAATGTATTAATCATGCTTCTCCAGAGAAACATATAGAAACAAATTAGAGAGAAAGATGGAGGGAGGAAAGGAATGAACTCACATAATTATGGAGGACATGATGTCCCACAATGGCCATCTGCAAGCTGGAATATCAGCTAAGCTGGTGGAAAAGCTTTGTTCAAGTCCAATGACTTGATGACATGAGGTACTATTTGGGAAATTCTGGGAGTCTAAAGGCTGAGGAACCTGGAGTTCTGACCTTCCAGCGTAGGAGAATATACTGATTTCCCAACTTCAGAAGACACAGAGGTCCTTTCCTGTGCCTTTTTCTTCTATTGGTTACCCCCCCTTCCCCCCCCCCCAAAAAAAGGCTGGTGCCCATTCTTATTGGGTGAGTGTGGATCTTCCTTACTCAGTCCACTGATTCAAATATTGAACTTTTCCAGAAAAACCTTCACAGACATACTGAGAAGTAATGATTACTCTCTTTCTACACATCTCTTAATTCAGGCAAGCTGACATCTAAAATTAACAATTGCAGTGGTTCCCTTCAAAAGACGATGTGCAATATATGTAAGAAGAAATGAGGGATTTGTCACATTTTTTGTAATCAGAGGATTTTTCTCCAGTTTTAGTACTCATGTACTTATTAAAGAACGAAGTGAAACTGTAGATGTCCCTATATTTCTTGTATGTATAGGGCTCTTTTTCATATCAAGGAATAGCTGAAGACTTTCCCACATTAGTTTTAATCATATGTCTTCTTTCCAATGGTAGTTCTAATGTGTACATTAGGAAAGTGAAGTATAAAAACTTTCTCATGTTTTATATTCATAGAATATAAATCCAATATGAGTTCTCACATGTGCCCTAAAGGATAAAGGTCAATGAAGATTTTCCCACAATTTTTAGGTTAATTGGGAGTTTTCACAGCATCAAAGAAAATGGAAGAATTCTTCACATTTCTTATATTCATGAGGCTTATCTTCATCATGAGTTGTTACCTGTACAGAAATGAATGAAGAAAAAATATCGGCTTTCTTACATTTTGCAGACTCAGAGTATTCTACTCCAATGTGAATTTTATATGAGACCCAAGATACAAGAGACATTTTAAAGATACCCTATATTTCTTACATCGATAGGATTTGTGTCCAGCATGTGATCCCATATATAACTTAACAATCAGTGAATTCTTTCTCACATTTTCTGATTTTATGTAATTCCTCTCCAGCATGAGTTCTCTAGTGTACATTTAGATTTGGAATTTGGCTGCAGGTTATTCAACACTGATTAATCTCATTATGTTTCTCCCCATTTTGAAATATTTTTATACTATAAATATTAAGATCTTTTTGAGATATTATCCAATTTGCTTACACAAAGCAGTTTTCTCCATATGAATTCTCAAATATCTCTTCTATATCTTTTGCTGATCTGTGCCAAAGAAAAAAAGATGAGAATTACAAAATTGGAACTATTTCAGATTTTAAGTGAAGTAGCATAATACTAATTTAAGGTAAAGTGTGATAAGAAATGACTGTCTTGTTATCCATAGAAGAAACACCCCTGATAATGTTATAACTAACAAGTCAATTAAGCATATAAGATGAAATACCAAAACACACATAATAAAGCCAAAAGAAAATAGGAAATTAGGAACAAATGAATGAAAACAGAGTATGAATAAAAAATGAAGTAGATACAACAAATAATTATATGTAAATCAAAACAACTTTTCAATATTTTTTTGGTACCAAGAATTGAATCCAGAGGCACTTATTCTCTGAACAATGTCCCCAGCCCTTTTTTGTATTTTATTTAGAGACAGTGTCTCAATTGCTGAGGCTGGCTTTGAACTCATGATCTTCCTGCCTCAACCTCTAAAGTTGCTCAGATTACAGTCATGTGCCACTGTGCCTGGCTGACTTTTTCACTTTGAAATAAAAAATAACAATACTGGATAAGAAAGCAAAATTCAACCCTATTCCATTTACCAAAAGAGATACTTTAAGTATAAAGACAGGCTGAAAGTCAATAATGAAGAAACATATACCCTGGAAATCCTAAGCATAACAAATATGAAATGACTATTAATATCAGACACAGAGTAACTAGAGATTAAAAGTAACATTTCATAATTATGAGTATTCATTAACCCAGAAAATAAATTAATCCTACTCCTATGTGCATCTAATATCAGAATTTCAAAATATATGAGGCTGAAAATATGGTAGACATGAAAGGATAGACAAATTTTAAAACAGTTGAAAAATTTAACACTTTTTTTCCTAGTAATTATAGAACATGTAGTAAAAAGAATAAAGAATATTTGTATAACAATATCAATCAACTTAATTTAATTGATACTTGTAAAACACCATGCCCAATAGTTACAGAACACACATTTCTATACTTGGGAATCACACCAAGAAAACTCGTCCATTAAAAAAAAGTACAATAAACTTCAGAGGATTTCAATCACATAGTTTTTTTCAGACACAAACAGTTATTTTGGGTGTCAAAATAATATCCTTGCATATTTGGCAATTAAGTAATGTACTTGTGCTTGACCTCTGGGTCAATGAAGAAAACCAATCTATAGATAAACTGAACAGTAATGAAAGCACAACATAGGAAAATTCATGAAGCACAGCTTAAGTAATGTATATAGAGAAATTAACACTTTTCATTTATATTTTATATATTTTATTTTCGAAAAGTAGGGGGCTTATATTCAACAATATAAGCTTCCAGAGAAGCTAGAAAAAGAAGAAAAAACTAAACCCAAATAAGATAAAAGAAAGTAAAATATAATAGTAGAAATCAATGAAATGGAAATCTGAAGTCAACAGGCAAAGAACAAAGTTAAGGGTTTGTTTTCAAAAAAATAAATTAGTACTCTCACTTTATCACTGTAGTGATAAAGACAAACAAACAATATCACCAACATTTTGAATGAAAGAGGGGCATTACTATAGACCCTAAATGCATAGACAGGATGGGGTATAAGTAACTCCTTGCCAATAAATTCAACATTATAGAATGGAAATATTTTGCAAAACATGTTACTGACAGAGAAGAAAAAAGAAAGTTGGAATTGTAGAATATGTAAAAAATTGAATTTGATATTCAAGATCTTCCCACACACTATAAAGTTCATTCATGGATGGCTTCAATAGTAAATTCTATCCAATCCATAATGAAAATTAATAAATGCTGGACACAAAAATCTTTCATATAATAGAGGAAGAGTAACAGTTGCCATCTCATTTTATGAGACTTGTAGATCCCTGAAACGAAAGCTTGACCAGGGCATTAAAAGAAAAAAAAATATAGACACATTCTTTATAAAATAGGTATACAAAATCAATGGATGAAATAGATGCAAAAAATCTCAATGCATTTGTGCACTAAATTTATCTGATAGCTAAAATTTTTCATACTGCTGCATGCTATGCAGAAGAAAAAGATGTGAACAATTCATTTAGTAAATCATGGCCATACACATGTAGTTCTAGTCCTAGATTGCAAGACTTCAGATCATCAACTCTGTTCTATACCCTTACATTCTTCACCATTGCTCCTGCTATCCCATATTCAGAATATCAAGGAACATGCTTCAAATTTTCCTGCTTAAATTCCACCTGTGACTTCCATCAGTACCTCAGAGATATCTCATAGAACTTGCATCTTGAAATCAACTAATTACTGGAACAAGTTTAAGACAAGTGTTTCAGATACAAATTTTAAGGGATCACTCGAAAACTTAATAGTAAAGATAGATATCACTTAATGTAATCGTCTTTAAAAACCTAAATTAATGTAAAATTCCATAAGGAACAAAAAAGTGAAATTTAAAATAAGAGAGAAACCACACTGCACTTACATATATTGGTTTACTGATGCCACCTTAATCCCAGCCCTGGTTGATTTTATTGTCAACTTTACTTTTTCCTGATCTCAATGAGGAAAAGGGGCCATTTCTGCTCTATAATTTCTCTTCTGGGTTGCTCCTTTAAGGCCAAAGGGCCACCAAAATTGTAGATACAATAATGTTGGGATTATTAAATTCACAAAGAAAAGTTCCTTTAGTTTTCAAAGGTGATCTCATCTCTACTTTGTTGCCAATGCCAACATTCATTCAGGGATTAACAGAAACAAATCTCTTTATGTGGAAAAGTTATGGAAAAACAATTTTTATATCAGAAAAGTAGGGGGCTTTTAATCAACAATCTAAGATTCCAGAGAAGCTAGAAAAAGAAGAAAAAAAACTAAACAATTAAACAACTGTATCTCTGCATGCAGTGCACTTTTACTTCCTACTAAGCCACATTTGGTCTTCCTCATCCCCACCATTTACACACATACAGGCACATACTCAAACACACACAACAAACAAGTGCTCTGAGTGCAGCTGTGGAGTTCTAACATTGTTAAATGCATTACCATTCATGTATTATGATAAAGTTTAATTTTTTAAATTCTTCTGGTGACTGGAATCATGCTCTTTTCAAGATATTCCAGATCAATGTAAGAAACACAAAAGTAATAATGATTTAGAGATGGATTTGAATTCTACACTTTCCAGCTAAAGTTTTTGTGAAGTAAGATAGGAAAGGAGTAGTACAAATATGTTTGAATCTATGGGCCTATTTTATTTGTTTGTTTGTTTGTTTCAATATTTTGGTATTGGGGTGCCTAACCACTAAACAACATACTTAGCCCATTATTTTAGATTTTTTATTTTGAGACAGAATCTTGCAAAGTTGCTTAGGGCTACCTAAGTTGCTGAGGCTGGCTTTGAACTTGTAATCCTCCTACTCCTGCCTCCTGAGACACTGCTACTATAGGCATGTACTACTGAGCCTAGTAGGATTTATTTTAAAAGATTTCAGTGTATGAGAAGTGTAGGATTCATCCAAATATGTTGTTAGGAAAAATTATGAAAAAGACCAAACCTAAAGGTACTAGTAGTAAACTTCTTTCTCTGATTTGGTACTCAAATTAATATTATCTTAAAATTGGTTATAATCACCTAGAGGAGATGGTATTTGCTGTTTTCAGCCCATAAGGGAGACTAGATATGTGACCAAATTCTGAAAGCTTTCAAATATAATGGAGACTAGGTATGTGACCAAATTATGAAAGTGCTAGAACTCACCAGACATTTTTAACACCTTTTTATCATAACACATTTATCATGTATATAGTATCTGTCAAAAGTGATCACTGCAGGTAGAAACAGAAACAACAAATCCACTTTGTTTAGGTTTTTTTTTTCTATTGTACCTCTTCCTTTGAAAAATTACTAAAGGGAAACATCTAGGTGCGTGAGGAAACAAATGCACTAAAAGCATGTGAAATCCAAGTGTATAAGGAAAAATGAATGTTCCAAGGGAGATTTGAAGGAGATACAGATGTTACAGGCCTTACTAATCCCATTCTATAAGGAAGCCCCATCAATGACCACCACTCCAGGTAGTCTGCTTTGCCTCTGCAGGCAGTTTACAGAAATTCAGTATCAATATGGAATTATCATTGTCATTGAATACCAATTCACAGACAAATTCCTGTCAGTTCAAAGTATTTGGGCTAATTTGTTGTTCTAATTGTGAAATAAAGTGGACACACAAAATAATACAAGAATTACAAAAGAAAACTAATTCTCTTATCTTCAAATGACTGGTGTTGGTGAATACTGACATCCACAGATATTTATTTGCCTCTCTTTATTCTGTGGAGGGCATCTATCTCCTACCCCAATTACAAGCATGTGAAATAAATGAGAGCAGTCATATTAATAAACATACATACTCACACACACACACACACACACACACACACACACACAAACACACACAAATGTGCCTCCAATTTCCTTCTCCAAATTTAGAGTTGATGCAAGTTCATCAAGATTTTTGAACTTGGGGCTAGAAAAGGCATGAGACAGTTTATAGTAATAAAAATAACTTTGAATTATAGGAGGGCATTTTTCCCATGTGGAAGAAGGTGGCCTTCAGTAAAAGAGAATTAAACCAGCAAATAGAATAAAAAAGAACAGGAAAGATAATACAGTTTTTCAAGTTCTGTTTCTAATTGTTTTAAATCAGTTTTGATTGTCATGCATATCTCAAATTGCATTATATATTCAAATATCCTCTCAATAAATTCTGTTTACCACCCCCCTTGAGCTAGTTTGAACTGGGTTTCTATTGATTGCAAACAAGATAAGTTAGACTTTAATACAGAGGTATTAAGTTTGGAAGAGATATTCCTGGTTAGTAAATTTTCTGTAAATATGAAAGATAAAATTCTAAAAGTTGTGTTTAAAGCAGAAAAAGATGTGCAGAAGAACATACTGTTTTCAAACATGACTCTGGAATTTGAAAGTGGTAGAGACAAATTGGGGAGAAATATTTGGGAACAGACTAGTT